TGGGGCCACAGAAAATGGGGCGCACGGGCATGGATCATGGACGTGCGGGCGATGTCCATGACCAAGCCTATGCGGCGCTCAGCAACGCCATTCTGCTGTGGGGACTCTGGCAGCGTCCAGGACTGGGTGATGCCCTGTTCGCCGCAGAATCCGCCGAGAATGCCGGAGCGAAACTCGCCCCCATGGTCGGAGTGGAGACAACTGACTCGACGACCACGAGTGCCCTCAGTGGCTAGAAGCCACCTGATCAGCGTAGTAGTCACCTCGGACTTCTTCGCAAGAGGGAACACTGTGGTGTACCTGGAGAAGTAGTCGACGACCACCAGAAAGTAACGCTCCCTCCCAGACCCCTGCGTCGGGGCAGGGCCCCAGACGTCCAAGTGGAGAGTCTCGAAGGGAGCGGTGGCCGGGCGAAGGGAGGAGGAGTGGGGAGTGGCGCGTAAGCGACCGGCGACGCACGGAGAGCAAGGAGGGGCAGGCGAGAGAGGGAGCGACGGGAAGGTGCGTGGGAGACCTGAGACAAGTCCCTGACTGAGCATGCCACGTACGCGAGGGAGCGACGGGTGGCCAAGGCGGTGGTGCCACAGGACGGTGCGGTGGGTGAGAGAGCGACAGGAGCAAGACGCAGCGACTGGACTGGACACAGCGACCGGACCGGACACTACTACCTGGCTAGACACAGCAACTGGACTGGGGACCTGGGCCGGAGGGGACGCAACGACCTGAGGGGAGGACGCGACCGGGGAGCGCTCGGTGTGGAGGACGTAGAGACCGGAGCGGGGCTCCCTGGTGAACGTGGCCAGAACAGCACCTGTGGTAGCGTCTGTACAGACTGCAGTCCGCCCACCCCCCACGAAGGTAACCGTGATCCCCCTGTCCTGGAGGTATCCAACACCCACCAAGTTCCGAGTGAACGAGGGGATGTGGAGGCCGCGCAGGACACCAGAGGGGACCACAGGGCACGGGAGGGTGGTGGAGCTACGCGCAACGGCTGGTCCAGAGGTAGGATCAGCCAGAGCCACCGACACAGGTGTGAGGAGTGGCGTAAGGGTCGTGTGGTCGCGGAAGAAGCACTGAGACGCGCCCGAGTCCAGCGTGAACGACAGAGAGGCCTCAGCCGGAGGGTCACCAGACCCAGTCGCTACACAAGCACCTAGCGCAGCAACACAAGCACCTAAGCTAGACAGGCACAAGGCTACACTAGCAGGAGGAAAGCAGGCTAACCTACGAACACGCGAGCACACAGATCCATCAGCACTATAGTCAGCATCAACATACAAAGCATGCTGACGCGCATCGTCCATGGACAGATCAAAAACATCAATCTTACGTGCTAACAGACGAGACCAGCGAGGCGTGACCGCCAGAGGGCCCCAACGAGCCTGGTAGAGGTCGTCGAGGCGGCGGAAGCACCGCGCGGCAGAGTGGTCGTCGCGACCACAGAGACAGGGGCTGCCCGGCCCGGTGAGGCACCAGTGGGTGCAGGGGCCAGCGTCACGGCGAGGGGGGCGAGGGGCCCAGCTGGAAGAGCTGCTGCTGCGGCCGGTGCTCCCAGGGCCTCCCGGACCCCACTGCGGCGGGGGACCCCAGTGCTGCTGCGGACCCCACTGCAGCGGGGGCCCCCACTGCTGGAACTGCTGCGGTGCCTGCTGCTGCTGCTGTCCCAGCTGCTGCTGCTGTCCCTGCTGTGGCTGGTGCTGCTGTGGCTGCTGCTGTGGCTGCTGCTGCTGGGGGGCAACGCCCCCACCGGTCGGGCCACCACCTGTGGGTGGGCCTGTCTGTCCTGTGCCTCCTCCAAGGCCCCCTCCCCCTGGTGCACCACCGCCGCCGCCGCCGCCTCCGCCACCACCGCCGCTCCCACCTCCACCGCCACCTCCACCGCCGCCTCCACCGCCTCCACCTCCCCCCTTCCCGCCCTTCTTGCCACTCTTGCCCCGTTTCTGCCAGTCTGCGGCAGGAACGGCAGCAGTGTCCCCAGAAACCGACACAGCAGCAGAAGCGCGGGTAGCAGTGAAAGTGGGAAGCTGAGGGGCGGCACACCCCGCAAAGAGACGGGGGGCCACCGCGTCAGTGGCGGAGGCAACGGTGAGGAGGCTACTCTCGATCGTCCCGAGAGCAGTCTCAAGGAGATCGACAGTGAGCTCAGTGGGGTGCTTCTGGAGAAGCGCGTCGCGAGCAGTGGCAAGGCGGTCAAAGAGGCGGGTGACTAACCAGTGCACAGTGAGCCACATGGGGGGGGGAGCAGCAAGAAGCTGGGCGTCGGTACAGGCCGCACGGAAACCGGCGTCAAGTGAGCGGAGGTGAGTCACGAGGTCGGACACAGTCGCAAACGAGCCGAGGTCGGGAAACACGAACGGCATGAGGAGGCGACTGAGGGAGGCAGAGGAAGGGGTGGAATAGCGTGCAACAACAGCAGCCCAAACCCCCTGAGCTGTCTCCACCTGGTCAAAGTGGGCGGCCTCAGTCGGGGGGAGGAGCTCCGTCAGCGCAAGAGCGGCGGCAGCGTCGCGAGAGTCCCACACGTCCCTCGCCAAGACACGACGCTCGTAGTCCGCCTGCGCCGCAGGAGTCGGCTCTGGGTCGTTCGGGAGGGGGGCGGGAGACAGGGGCGCTTTGAGGGCACCCGACGCGTGGGCCCACAAGGTGGCGCCGTCCTGACGCTGACTGGTCAGGTAGCGAGTGGCCTGGCGCTGCCAGGTACTGATCTCGATCGGGCGTCCCTCCGCATCGAACTGAAGGCGGCGAGACTCCATACTGGAGGCTAGGCTAGAGGCGGTTGGAGCACGGAAGAGACGGAGCTAGGAACGAGGAGGGAAATGGAGGAGTGACAGGTGTGGCGAGGCAAGAGACCGGCGGAGCTAGTGGCGAGGAGCACGGAGTGACCTAGGCTAGGCGTGAAACGGCGAGGAACTCCAGGTATGGGCGCTAGAGGCGAGGAGCTAGTGACCACACGGGTCTAACCTAGGTGACCGGCGAGAGAAGCGGCTGCCAGCCGCTGAACTAGAGACCACTGGCAGTAAGAATGGTTGGGGCTCAGCGAACAGGGTGGTGGTGGGGAAAGGGACGAGTGCCAAGTGTCGGTGGGCGTCGGTAGGGCCCAAGCTAAGGTGACGGTGAGGGCTAAGGCGTGGGCGCGAGCTCGACCTGTGGGAGGCACGGAGGGCGGGGCTAAGCACGGAGGGCGCGGACGGCGCAAAGGGCGGAGCTAAGCACGGGGGGGGGGGGGGGGGGGGGGGGCGCGGACGGCGCGGAGGGCGGGGCTAAGCACGGAGGGCGCGTGGCGTGGGGTAGGGCGCGGGCTAAGCCACGGGCTCGGGCGCGGGCTAGGCGCGGTCTAAAGCGCCAGGCGTGGGCGAAGGAGAGGGCGCACGGCTCAGGCCCGGGATGGAGGGTGCGAGAGGGGCGGAGGCGTGCTAGGCGGGCGGAGGCTCCGCGACGAGCTAAGGGCAGGGCGCACGGGGCCCGCGACGAGCTAAGGGCGGGGCGCACGGGGCCCGCGACGAGCTAAGGGCGGGGCGCACGGGGCCCGCGACGAGCTAAGGGCGGAGGCACGAGATGGAGGGCGCGGAGGGCGCGTTTCAGAGGGCGCGGAGGTTTCGTTTTGGAGGGCGCGGAGGGCGCGAAAACGAGGCCCGCGGGGGCCGTCCTACCCGCGACGAAACGGGGCCTAAGGGACGGGCGCCTCGGGACCGGCTAAGGGAGGGAGCGGAAGCGTGGGAGGGAGAAAACTTGCCTACTCTAATACCATCTTAAGTTAGGCTAGGAACAAGTGTCGAGAGAATTGTGTGAGTGAGTAGGATGGGATACACGTCGACCTAGAGAATGTTGTACCCTTTAGAGGGCAACTCACTGTAGCCTAGATAACTAACATCTATAACATATAAACATTTGACAGTTACATGCAGCGACTCGGTAACAAGAAAGTAGTGCAACAGTCAGAGTCACTGTAGAATTGCCTGTAAAACAGTTATAATAAGGGAATGTACCCCTTAGAGTACATGGCTAGACTAGGACTATTTATATTTCCTGTATTCTATCTTTTAATCAACTTGGTCATTTACATTCACTATGATCTGAGTTCTTACAAGTCTTCCGCTACCAACTCTACCAAAGCGCCTCCTATTCTATCCAAGGTCCTTACTTTAACAAATTTTATCTGTTAATCCCCGGTCATAAGGTCATTCATAGACCATAAACAACGTTCATGGTAACAACTGGCTTGAAAATACATTTACAGCCCGAGTATATCATTTTACAGCCTTTTGGAATTTTAGATCTACGTACGTAACACTTTAGGTTCAAAGCATGTGAAGTGAGTTCCATTTCTCAATGCAATAGGATGGATGGATGCTATGATATTCATAAACAGATTCGGTGTATTCCTCGCTTGCTCCATTCCACCCGCACTAATATGAAAACCAAACGCGTCGGGTAAAAGTGGCCTCCTGATGACTCAGCTGACGGCGAAATACAGTCATTCTCCTTGGTCTGCTTGGCGCGCACCCCGTGATCAGGGCTGGCTCATCCATCGCCGCTGACGGCTGGGAGCGCCAAGTTAGGCATCAAGCCTTGCGGGTCGCTGACGTGGTTCCAGTTCAGAGGCACCCCCGTGTATCGTGTTGTGCCGCCGACTCTTCACTTGTCAGTTGGGTTTTCCCGGGACGTGCTTCCCAGCTTGCCCAACCCACAACAAGCAGTGGATAGACGTGGTCCGACCAAACTTCAACAACTGACTACGGAGCGCATCACCTCGGAATTTGTGAGAGCTCCCTTGAGAAAACTAGATACTCCCAAGACGGATTCACATAAACCGTATTTCCTTCGCACTCGACCCACTTCCAAGGTCCTGGATTTTAGTTTATGTTTCCCTCCACCCACTTTCAAGGTCCGAATTCGCTCACTTCGTATTGATCAGACAAATTCGGTATCTCCGCTGCATATTAATATTTGGGTACCATCAGCGGGTAATCATCGTTATATTGCAGACTGAATCCGTTACGATGAAGTCGTCGTGGATCAAGGCGAGAGCTGCTCTCTCGTTGCCTCTGAGCACGGGCCTTCACCGTTGGAGCAGCAGCTCCGCCTTGATCATGCCGCCTCACAGCACGGCCGTTCGATTCTACTCGACAGCCTATCGCCCAGTCCTCAGACCAGATTCATCGTCGTGCGCACTCTCGCTCGCATCGTCGCACACCTCGTCGCACACCTCGTCGCACAGCTCTTCGTGCAGCTTATCTTGCGATGCGTCGACGAGATCCTTTCTCGCCCACCGTCCATCGCTCTGCACGCGACAGGCCGTCGCACGGCCCCGATCGTCGCATGCGGTCTCACGAGCAGGCCGCCTCGCAGCCACTCTCACCACCTCCTTCCTCCACCCCGCCAGCGCAAGCGTCGCGGTCCCCCCCCTCGCTTGCCGGCCGCCGAAACGGCAACTGATCGTTGCCAGCGGCGCCGCGAGCGCGGGCCAACCAGCTGTACCTCAGCAGCCGCACCGAGCATCAACGGATACATCTCTCGCGTCGGGCAACGGCAGCGTTTCGGAGTTTTCCACGTCGATCCACGAGGAAGTGGAGGGAAGCATTTGGCAGGGAGGGAAGAAGCTGCGGGCGGCGGTCGACTTGGAGGAGGAAGTGGTGGTGGCGGGTGATGGTGCGGCGGTGGGCAGAGGGCAGCAGAGCTACGCGGAGCTGGAGCCGACCCCCATGGTGCAGGAGGCGTGGGACCTCCTCAACGCCTCCGTCGTTCATTATTACAACCAACCTGTGGGCACGGTAGCAGCAGCGGACCCCACGTCAACAGCAGCGCTGAACTACGACCAGGTGTTCATCCGCGACTTCATCCCCTCCGCGCTCGCCTTCATGCTGTCCGGCCACCACGAGATCGTCCGCAACTTCCTGCTCTACACGCTGCAGCTGCAGGTCAGTTCACCCCGTGTCCGCGCCCTGTGCTTGTGATGGTGCCCGTGCTCGTTCCCATGGGCGATCGTGCCTGTGCTCTCTGTGAGCTCAGTTTGCAGACTACCGCGAGATCGTCCGCACCTTCCTCCCTGCAGCTGCAGCTCAGCAGCCCAGCCCATCCATCATCGCACCCTGCGTCTCATACATTCCCCAATGCTTTCTCCCTTCACTTCAAACTCCACGTCACACGCATACTGTCAGTACCATTCCCCATCCTCGCCCATCTCCCACACTCCTCCCACCCACATCTCCTAACACTGCCCATGCGTCTTGAGACCGTCTTAAACCATATTTAATTTCTCCTTGCACTGTCCATGACCCACCAGAGCTGGGAGAAGGCTGTAGACGCGCACAGGCCGGGCGAGGGGCTCATGCTGTGCCACTGCCCACGTGTTTTCAGTCGCGTCTCCAAATTTTTTATTTTCCTCCTCGCACTGCGTGTTCGCCTTGCACCACCAGAGTTGGGAGAAGACCGTAGACGCGCACAGGCCAGGCGAGGGGCTCATGCCGGCCAGCTTCAAGGTCACGCAGACGCCCGTGGAGGGCAGCGCTGGGGGCGGAGCGGCGTACGAGGAGCACCTCGACCCTGACTTTGGCGAGTCTGCCATTGGCCGCGTGGCTCCTGTTGACTCTGGTGAGCGGTTGGCGCTTTCATTGTGATAACCAGCTCTGACACTCGTGACCACTTGCGCATCTGATAACGCCTGTGTTTCTCTCTGCCCTGTGTCCCTGTCCTTCTCTCACTTACCCCATCCTCTTAATGAATTCGTTCTTCTTCATCCGTCCCTCCTTTATCCCATTCCGCTCCCCCACTCCTCCTCCCTCCGACCCCTTCCCCCATCCCCCCCCTTTCTTCCTCACTTTCCCATCTCTCCCCTCCCCCAGGCCTGTGGTGGATTCAACTATTGCAAGCATATGGGCGGTGCACAGGAGACGTGTCATTGCAGCAGAGAGTAGACGTGCAGACGGGCATCAAGCTCATTCTCAAGGTCTGCCTCGCGGACCACTTCGACATGTTCCCCACGCTCATCACCACAGATGGCTCCTGCATGATCGACAGGCGGCTCGGCATCCATGGCCATCCTTTGGAGATTCAGGTGAGCCCTCAGCGGTGACTTTGCTGCTCACCACACTGCCACATTTCCCTGCACAGCCTCCGGACCCACCATCCCCCCATCCCCATACACTCCATTCGGTGCTATAAGACACCCTGCGAGCAGCGTGTAAGGTGGCTTTTGGGTCGACTGGAAAGGCAGTTTCCTTTGCTACTCCAGTCTCTCCTATACGGCGCCCTGAGAGCAGCGCGAGACATGATCATCCTGGAGGGGGACAGAATCGACCTCAACCGCGCCCTGCTCAGTGCTCACCCGCTTTGCCACCACCGCGCCTATGCCTTTTCACACCCTGCTCACCACCCCCTTTCATCCCCTGCCAACCCAACCCCCTCCCCCATCCCCTCACCCCGCCTCCATCCCCATCCTCTCCAGTCACTCTTATACAGCGCCCTGAGGGCAGCGCGCGACATGCTCATCCCAGACCGCTTCAACTTGAGCACTGAAGATCACTCACACTCTTGCAAATCCACCCGCACTCCCCCTCTCCTGCCCCCTTCCCACCATGCAGTCACTGCTATACGGCGCCCTGAGAGCAGCGCGGGACATGCTCATCCCAGAGGGCGACAGCATCGACCTCATCCGCGCCGTCAACGGGCGGCTCACGGCCCTGGCCTTCCACATCCGCCGCTACTACTGGCTCGACCTGCCCGCACTCAACACCATCTACCGCTTCAGGAGAGAGAGGAGCAAGCCCGAAAGAACACTCTCGCAATTCACCCACTTCCGCCCCTTCCCCTGCCCCCTCCCCTGCAGTCACTGCTATACGGCGCCCTGAGAGCAGCGCGGGACATGCTAATTCCAGAAGGCGACAGCATCGACCTCATCCGAGCAGTGAACGCGCGGCTCACGGCCCTGGCCTTCCACATCCGCCGCTACTACTGGCTCGACCTGCCCGCACTCAACACCATCTACCGCTTCAAAACCGAGGAGTACTCGCACGACGCCGTCAACAAGTTCAACATCTACCCGGATCAGATCCCGCCGTGGCTCATGGACTGGATCCCGGACCGCGGAGGGTACTTTGTGGGGAATGTGCAGCCGGCGCATATGGATTTCCGGTGGTTTGCGCTGGGGAATCTGTGGGCGATTGTGAGCAGCCTGGCGTCGCACCAGCAGGCGGAGGCGATTCTGGATCTGGTGGAGGAGAAGTGGGATGAGCTGGTGGGCGGCATGCCCATGAAGATCTGCTTTCCTGCATTGGAGAACGGCGAGTGGCGCATTATTACTGGCGCTGACCCCAAAAACACGTGAGTTTCAAGTGGGTTTGGGAGGTCTGAGGGGGGTTTATTGAAGTGGGATGAGTTGGTGGGCGGCATGCCCATGAAGATCTGCTTCCCCGTGCTGGAGAATGGCGAGTGGCGGATAAATACCGGCGCCGACCCCAAGAACACGTGAGTCAACGGGGGTGGGAGGGGTGGGAGGTCTGAGGAGGGGTTAGGGAAGTGGGAGGAGCTCGTGGGGGCTATGCTGATGAAGATCTATTTTCCTGCCCATAGAGAGGGGCGAGTGGCGCATTAACAATGGTTGCTTTGCGGCGGAATCAGTGCTTGCAGTTTTCAGGGCATACTTGGTTTGCTTTGCTGTGGAATGCCCAACGGAGTGCCACTGTTTCTCTTGCTGCATGTTTATGTGTGCCCATGTCATTCTCTCCATTTCCTTCCCAACAAACCCGCCTGCCCCGTCATCTGAACCCCTCCCCACTCCCACAGAGCGTGGTCGTACCACAACGGGGGGTCGTGGCCGGTGCTGCTGTGGCCGCTCACAGCAGCGTGCATCAAGATGGGTCGTCCCCACCTGGCACAGCGCGCTGTGGCCCTCGCAGAGCAGCGCCTGCAGGCCGACCGCTGGCCCGAGTACTATGACACCAGGTACTGTGCGGTGACACCAGTTACTGTGCGTGTGACAGGGTGCTGTGCGGTGACAAGAGGTATTGTGCTGTGACAGAAGCTACAGCAGAAGGGTTAAGGCCTACATTGCAACCGCATATGATATCCACACCCCGTCATCATATTCATCGTGTGCCACCTACACTCTCACACAACCATATCCGCACACCATTCTTCACCCATCCTTACCCTCACTGCGTCCCTCCAGGCGAGGGCGGTTCATAGGCAAGCAGGCGAGGCTGCACCAGATGTGGAGCATAGCAGGGTATCTCACAGCCAGACTGCTGCTCACCAACCCCCACGCCGTCTCCCTCATTGCTCCCCGTCCCCCCTCCCCCCCTTGCGCGCACTCTGCCCCTCCCTGCAGGAGGGGGCGGTTCATAGGCAAGCAAGCACGGTTGCACCAGACGTGGAGCATCGCGGGATACTTAACAGCCAAGCTGCTGCTCGCCAACCCCCACGCCGTCTCGCTCATAGCAGCGGACGAAGACTGTGACATAATCAACGCCTCCACCACCCTCCTCGCCTCCAACCCCCGCCGCCGCCACCGCCCCAACCCGCTGCCCTCGCCACTCTTTTGAAGAAGAATTCTTCGAGTGGAGGACTGTACTTATCAGAGGAACTGTGGTTATGGGAGCGTATGTTGGAGTGTATAGTTGGCATTTTTCCAGGCGTCTGCATTGCATTTGTGCTAATCTAATCGCTTCATTTGTTATGGTGTCATGTAGCGTAGCGTGCTTCTGTTCCGCCTTCTTGCCAATGCGTGTGCTGGGTGGAATGTGTGTCGTCTTGTTCTCAGTATGTTTTTTGTGGTCGAACCTTCTAAAGCTAATGGACCGGAAGTAATTACAGTGTACGGTATGTGATTGTCGGCTGGAAACAACGGTGTACTAAAAAAGAAAAACCGACATTCCCAAGCGCGTGCGATGGGAAATAGTTTGCGGGTCGCACTTGCGGGTTGATGGCATCGAATCAACAAAAGGTTTGCATTGTACATGCGCGGTTCCACCTTGTGACACCTAGCACCCTATTTACGCCACAGATCAAACGGGGGTGACAATATTTAAGACACCTTCTTTCGCGACATAATTTGTTAGAACGCGCCCTAGCTCCAAGACCTGGGAACCTATCCCGTGCGATCGAATGCTTCACACAAGACCTTCAACTCCCACAGTCCCGCCACCAGCTATCCCAAGCTCGCGAAGTCGCCTCGCCCTTCCAATCTGAGGTCGCAGAGCAGTGGGGCTGGGTCGCAGGGGCGCGACGAAACGTCTTCAATCAGAAACTATAGAGCCCTTCCTACAGTAATTAGGGACCGTGGAGTCCTTCCTCCAATCAGAGATAGACCTTCTTCCAAACCAGACCAGGTTCGGGAGTCGAATCATCCGTGGCATCCAGCACCTGACCTAAGAGAGGCTCGTCATCATGGCGGCGTCGCGGCGGCGAACAATTTCAGTTCCACTCGCGCCGAAGCTTCAAACCAAATTTGCTCTTGCTCTCATTACATTTCTACTCGGCGCTTGTGGGCATCACACCGTACACTTCCCACAGTTTTTCTCCTCATCTGGTATATCAACAAGTACTAGCGTGCAGGGTGGTAATATTACTAGTACTAGTCGCACCGCTGGGCCTCTCTTGTACTCGTAGCGCCTCTCAGTTCCCTGCGCAGCATCTCTGCCGCAGCGCAATGGCTGCCTCACGATGGGCCGTCACTCAAGGGCGCGGCGGCGACACGTTCTCCGCCGCGAAGCTTCTCCCCGTGCTCATCCTCGCATTGCTGCTTCAGACGCCCTCCGCGTCCGCCCGCCGCTGGTTCTGGAACGACGGTCTCTTCCCCGTCGCCGCCACAGGCGAAGCGAACGCCGCCGGCGCCGCGCCGCTCACCGCCACGGGGGCCGCGCCGCCGGCGGTTCCATTCCCAACGCCAGCCCCGACGGCGCCGGCGCCGGCGGCGCCAACGTGCGACGACGCGCCTGTGGACCCTTCGGTCGTGTCTGCGGCAGCGCCTGGCGATCCGTGTTCGGCGCTGGCGGCGGAGCTAATACGCGCTGCAGAGAAATTGGGGAACAAAACTGGAGGGAAAGGGTTCGCGGCTCCTTCTCTCTTCCGCGCGTGCCACTCCACATTCCTGTTCAGGTACTGGTACCGTGGCTTCGAAGCGTCTTCTCTATCCAGGGTAATATATGCTCCGCTTTACTTTTCAGCGTGTGGTTTTCAAACTCTACCTGTTTGCTCAGCAACATGTACGACCCTCACAGTTTTGTGATGCTGAACTCGAATGTGCGGACCTGATTCGCGACTTTACAATGAGTCGGGTTGGAATCGTTCGTCCCTATTCATGATGTGGCAGGAAGGACTGCGACGCGGAAGACCTGCTGTCGATCGCGAACGCGTTTGACAATCACTACGTGTACAAGCTCATCGCCATGGACTCGCCCGACCAGACCAATCTGCCGAGCCGCCTCGATATTGTCGCGGACCTGTGGAAAGTCGTCAAGGACGCCGTTGGGGGAAAGTACGCGCGGCTGGTGGACGCGCACATGGCGGCGTTCCGAGCGACGCTGGCGCTGAATGATGGGCACAGCATGTTCATGCCGGAGTGCTTCGTTGGGAGTTACGACCTGCCGCTGCCGCTCATGGCTGTCGTCGAAAACGGGCAGCAGATCATTCGCGTTGCGCCACGCCGATGTGAGTGTTTAAAGTACCTTTCAACGGCGGTTGTAGGTTCCACTGTATGAGTGAGTGTTACCCATGTCCCTGGTGATGGGCTGTTCCAACTGTTCAACGATATTCCTCAGCACTCTGCTGCAAAGCATAGCACTACGCCGGTTGCACTTAAACTCTTCCTCTTATTTACTCCCTATGGCCATCAGTTGTCACTCCCCAAGGGATGGTCCACATTGCAAAGGTTTTGCACGATTTTGACTTTGGCCTTTATGAGGGCCGACAGGTATGTACGCGTGCAATAAACTGACTGAGTCACCTGATTCGACAATGTAGTTCATGGAACGTCATTCAATTCAATTCAAGCACCTGATTTGCCAACGGCATTCAAGCACCTGGTTCCTTCAACTGTTGCATGCAAACACTTATTCTACAGCTCTACCTTACATGCTCATGCGGCGTCCCAGGTGGTGGCTATTAACGGGGATAAAGCGGAGGATTTCATCCTGAATTGGGCGGACAAAGAAATGGGCCAGTTTCGCAATCGCGCTTCGCAGTTCACAAAAGCTTTTGCGAGGAATGAAGCGACAGGGACGCTGAAAGGGACGAAGATCGTGCAGGTGCCAGGCGACTTCGCCCGTCGATATCTGGCTCCCGAAAATGACACCTTGCTGGTGTCGTTCGCAACAGCGTGAGCTACAGTTCTCGATGCTCATTGGCTCTCACTGTCACGCTTCCCTGCTTCTTCCCTGCTGCTTGCTTGCTTGGTGTTTGCTGTTTGCTTGGTGTTTGCTGTTTGCTTGGTGTTTGCATCATTGCATGCTGCTCATAGGTTCTCCTTGTCTCTCTCCTCTGCTCCTTCCCTGCTTTTGCTTGCTTGGCGTTTTCATGCTGCTCATTGGTTCTCCCTGTCGCGCTTCCTTTTTTCTTCCCTGCTGTCTGCTTGCTTGTCTGCTTGCTGCTCTCCCTGTCTCTCTCCCTGCTGTTTGCTTGCTGCTCTCCCTGTCTCTCTCCCTGCTGTTTGCTTGCTGCTCTCCCTGTCTCTCTCCCTGCTGTTTGCTTGCTGCTCATCAGCCCACTCGTCCCCCTTCACACTTCGTGCGTCCCCCTCCTCCCCCCACCCTACCCCTACCACACCACTGCATTTCTCAGGGATGGAAGTGCGACGGAGGAAGTACAGGTGCCATGGATCGGGACAGCTAGCCATTCCCACTTTGCAAACGCC